GAGAACTCTGAACGAGTTTAAAACTCTATGAAAGAGTTGATTTAACCGAAAGTCGGTTATAAGCCAAGGATGAAGAAGATCTTGTTGCCGATCTCAAAAGCTCCAACCGAAGGATGAAGGATTCTCTTTTGGGGCGAATGGGATGTAACCGCCCCTTAAATCACTCCTGAGTGGAGTTATGATCCCCTTAGATCGTGGAGAACGGTTTTGAAACCGTACAGCTCGTGTTTGAACGAGTCAAACGCAGTTCCACATTCTGACGTGAATTCCGCATTCAAACGCAGTGTCTGGAAGCTTGAACGCATCGTCTGGAAGCTCGGACGCAGCAATTAGAAGCTGCGTTTGCAGCGTTGGAATCTACGTCTGAGCTGCGTTTGGCAGCGATTTGAACTGTGTTTGGCAGCGGATTGGAGCTGCGTTTGGCAGCGATTTGAGCTGCGTTTGGTAGCGATTTGAGCTGCGTTTGGCGGCGATTAGAGCTGCATTTGGCGGCGGTTTGAGCTGCGTTTGGCGGCAGTTTGAGCTGCGTTTGGCAGCGGTTTGAGCTGCGTTTGGCAGCGATTTGAGCTGCGTTGGCAGGATTTAAGAGCTGCGTTTGACAGCGAATAGAAGCTGCGTTGGCAGCTTTGGAGGCTGCGCTTGAGCTGCGTTCGTGGCTATAAACATGGTGCGTCTTGATGCTGGTTTGTGGGGAGGACTTCCACTTCTTGGTTTGAAGAGACCGTCGATTTGTAGTCTCTTTCTGTCAGAACGTTGCAAAGATCGTCGTTTTGTAATCTTTGCTTTAGCTCTTTGATATGTGAGAGTCGTCAGATTGTAACTCTCGATGTTGATTGTGAAGGCTGTTTTTTAGAGCTTTCATCAGTTGTTGCGAAGGTCGTCAGATTGTAACCTTCATCAGTCTGCGTGAAAGTCTTCAAATTGTAACCTTCTGGAAGTCGTCAGAGTGTAACTTTCATCATCGGTGTTTGATGAGGATCAGCTATCTGCAGTGATTTTTAGACAGCCTACAGCAATCAGTGCTATTTTACTTATGAGAAGGAAACCTGAAATGTACTTATCAGAGATGTATTCTCAAGAAAACTATTTGATTGCCTATGGAGGAATGTTGAATCCATTACAAGGGAGTAATTATTGGGATACAAAGGGAGAGGGAATGGTGTTTCCCCCAAATATTGTTAGCAGGCCAAAGGGGAGACCCAAAACTGCTAGGAGGAGAGACTCATCTGAAGGTTCCAAGCATCCTTCTAGGTCATCAAGGCAGGAGACCCAAAACTGCTAGGAGGAGAGACTCATCTGAAGGTTCCAAGCATCCTTCTAGGTCATCAAGGCAGGGATTAATACAAAAGTGTAGCAATTGTCACAGAACAGGGCATAGAAGACCCAGTTGTCCTGATGCAGCAACAAATCCTCCCAGGCCAACACATCAACAGGTATTGTAATGCCAATTATTTAGATATCTTTAATAATCTCATATGCAACACTATGATCTAATTTCTCCATTGATTTACTTCTAGGAAAATCAATCTCAAGTTCTTGATGAAGGCACAAGTGGAAGGAAGAAAAGAGGAAGACCAAAGGGGTCTCAAGTTCTTGATGAAGGCACAAGTGGAAGGAAGAAAAGAGGAAGACCAAAGGGGAGCAAAACCAGAACTAACATTTCCATTGAAGAGCATAGTCAAACTAACCCTCTTCCATCATCTCAAGTTTTCATAAATAAAAGATCAATGGCTAGAGATAATGAACAATACATACTGTTGTGCACCAAGTTTTCATATAGATTCTTACTGATGCACTGAATTTGTTATGTATTCTCTAAGCTCAATCTCAAAATGCTAGAGGAAGGAGTGATATACGACGGGGCCGAGGCAAAGGAAGAAATAATGCAGTCATTATGCCAGAGGGTTTTGGCCTATGGCATGGTGATCATGGTGAAATAGCTTATAGAGATCCAAGTGCCTCTCAAGCAACAATCATACAAGATTCAACTCCAATTTCAACCCAGGATGTACACCAAGAGGAGCATACACAGGCTTCATGTGCACATAATAATGGGTTGTAATTATATGTAATTATAGTTTAGCTTTTGGTAATATATAGACTTGAGGTAGTTGAATGACTTTTTACTTGTTGCTGGTTATTGTAATCATGACAAACACATGACAGTCAAAGAGTGACTAATGTAGTTTGGCTTTTGGTTTGTATGTTGATTGTGCAATGTGATTATGAGCTTCTGTGCAAGAACTTAATTCATGAATACAGGGCAATGTGATTATGAGCTTCTGTACATATAGAACTTAAGCTTGGAGTTACTGGTTTTTACGTTTGATTGTGCAATGTGATTATGAGCTTCTGTGCATGAACTCCCTTAAGCTTGTGAGTATGCTTTGTCACAGGAAAACTATATTTGACAGGTTCACTCACAAAGATAATACATGAATACAGGGTATACCATGACAAATTTTTCTCATAAACAGTGACAAATTTTTCATGTCCTGATGCTTCTTCTCATTAAATTCATAAGTTCATACAATATGCTCTTAAACATTACATATCCATGTCCATAAACCAAAAAAATACACAATAAAAACGACTACAAACAAAAGTGATATCAAACTTCCTCTCTTCAGCAACATCTTCCTCCTCTTCTCCAATTGAAGCAAACCTTCTAATCTGAAACTCTCATCTCTCAATTTTGATATTTCTTCCAAAGAGCAAGCGTTCTCATCGTATAAAACCTGGAGCTGGTCTCTGAAATTGGCATTTTCAACATGGCAATCCTTCACTTCGGCCTCAACTCTTTGAATCTGCCTATCCCTGAGCTTCAATTCACTCATCAAGTTAAGTATTTCATCTCGTAGAATAGGAAATAGAATAGAAGACACATTGCAGAGAGGTCTATCGAACCATTCCCACATTCCACAGTCACCATTAGGATTCTGACATTTATAAAACCTTCTCCCAGGATTTTTATTTGTAAATGATGTATAATACCCACAATCCATTCTACACTTACAGATTTTCATGCCAACCGTCCTTGCTTCCTCGTTCTACCTTCTAATACCTGCCAAAGAATTCAAACCATGATTATTACTTACATGCGATCCCAATTTTCCACTCACCCTGCTTGCTTTAGAACGAGAGCTTGAATGAGAGCTTGAACTTGATGCTGATGACATAGTTTCTTCTCTTCCAATGGCCCGATGTCATAAACCCTAATTCCCAAATTTCCCCAATTCGATCCCTCTTTTATTCTCCCTGCCACGTCAGAAAACAGAGCCACATCAGCATCTTAAACACTCCCTGCCACGTCAGAAAACAGAGCCACATCAGCATCTTAAACACAGATTAAGCCCTCACGTGCAACGCACGTGATGAGTTCTCGCCGGAAAAGTGGCCGCCGACGAGAAAAATGACCTAAATGGTAATTTTATTCAATTAAAATGTCTTATCGCCGAATTTTCTAATTAAAATACCTTGTTGTCAAATGGGGTTGAATTAAAATACCAATATGGGTATTTAGCCTTATTTTTGTACTACAACTAATATATATATGTGGGGTCCCATGGCAATTGTCAACAAAAAGTTTATAGTGTGGGTTTCACTATTTTTATCTTTCGGTTGAAGGAATTCTAGCTTTAACAATGACCGCTCTTTGATGGATTTAGATCCTCTCTACTACCAAAAAAAATAGTGGAGGGATCACTATATAATGACCACCATTAATTATCTAATAATGGGTGGCTGCGATTTTTTCTTTGAGTGCAAATTAGGAATAAGTGCAATACACGAATGAATGATGAGTGTTAAATTTAGATTGTACCACAACCGTCCACAAGATAATCAGTGTTTGAGATTAAAAGTAGTGGTCTCTCCACTATATTGTTTGTAGTGGAGATGATCCAAATTCATGATGAGGCGAAAACATTGGTGATCTTGAGAGGAGAAGGAAATGGATAGTTTAGAGATTCGCTATTTTCTTGTAAAATACATTGTATAAAATTTGAAATTCTACGATTTAGTTTTAAAGCTAAACGGCATTGATTTTGACTATTGAGTCTAAACAACCGTGTGGAAGAGGTAGCTCTAGCCATATGAACGTAACTTTTCGAAAAGTTAAAAAATAATTCACATATTTTATTATAGCTAATTCTCTCTTTGATTATTTTTTACAGACACAATCCCTCCTCCAGTAAACTTCAAGCCCCCTGGGATTACGATTTCACCCCACCAGCGGTGATACGGAGCTCTTTCCTACTTCATTAACCGCAACATGGATGAAGAGGTAGCTCTAGCCATGGTGAATTAATGAAGCGCGCTTGATTTTTTTTCAAAAATATATATATATATCTTTATTATTCATGTTTTATATGGAGCGTGGAGATGATGAAATGGGTTCTTTTGGTGCTA